CAAAAAGAGAGCCAAATACAAAAGGAAGAAAGCGAATTTCGTGCTCTGGAAAATTCTCTCAGACAAGAGGCATCATCTCTTAACACACTAGTTTCTAACTTAAAGTCACAACTCGAAAGTCTCGAGAAAGCCAAGCAAAATCTGCAAGAGGAAAAAGAACAGGAAATTACTCTGCTTCAATCTAATATTTCTCAAAAACAAAAGAACATTGAAGAATTGGAAAGAGAGAAAGAACAAATCTTACACGATATGAAACAAACAACAGAGACATTGAACAGTCGTATTTCTGCACAGGAGCATGATCTCAAATTGCAAAAGGAGCAGAGCAACTTTTTGAAAGAAAATCTCGAACATACAATATCTGAATTACAAAATACCATAATGAAACGAGAAGAAGAGATTCAAAAGGCCAGCGAGGATCATCACGAAAAAGTGGAAGAACTTCAACTCTCTATTAACACCTTAACTCAAACTTTGTCACAGAAAGAGACAGAAATATCACGTCAACGTGTTTCATTTGAATCTCAAACTGATACACTGAATAACCAAATTGAAGAGTTAAAGAAGAATCTTGCCAAGAAGGAACTCGAGCTCTCTCGAAAAGAGCAAGAAAAAACACAAGAAATTGCAGAGCTCAATAACACTCTTGATCACATGAGAAACATTCTGAGCAAAAAGGAGGAAGGGCTTCATGAAAAAGAAGAGGAAGCTACCTCATATATCGAAGGGTTAAATAAGATTATTAATGACCTACGAAATACCATCACTAACAAGGACACAGAATACAAGAGACTTGAAGAGGAACACAAAAAGGAAGTGGATACACTCAATGATATCATCTCACAGCTCAGATCAGAAATATTGACTCTCAAAGAGAAAGATCTTCAACGAGAAGAGACCATTAATCAGTTGACAATGGAAATTTCCAAGCTCAACACTGAGAAAGAGAGCATGGCTACCAAGGAAGAAAACAAAAACAAAAAGGAGGAGAACTCATTGAAAGAAAAGCTCGACGAAGCCTCAAGAAATGTCACCAGATTGCAATCCTTGTTAGATAAGGAGCGTGAAGATAAGGTGAAGCTAAGCAATGAGAAGACTAAGCTTGAAAATGATGTCAAGAAGGCTATGTCACTACTCACGAGTAGCAACAATAATCATGCTCATGAAACAACTCTTAATTCTACAATCAACAACAAGATTCAAGCGTATGATGAAAAAATCAAGGAACTATCAAATACTCTTACAAAGGTTCAAAAATTGTACCAAGAAAAGGTCACGAGACTCGTCAAAGAGAAGTACACGATGCAAACCGAGCTCAACAAACAAACAGTCACAACAACCAATGGAACTGCAACAAAACCAAACGTTGTCACTCCTGAAGTACCTGCCGTACATATTTTCAATCCAATTGGAACTCCAATTTCCAAAACCAATGCATCAAGCCACGACGCTCCAGAAACACCTCCAAAGCAAATCTCCACTCCTGTCACTCCCAATGTAAACACTCCATCTACACCAAACTCTACCACAACATCCACACCTCCTGTTGCTCTCTCTCCAGCCATCCAATTCCTTCTCAGAATGAAGCAAGAAGGTTTCAAACTTGAGGAAAAGCCATACTATTCCGAACTCATGGAAACAATGAAAGGCAAGTCAGTAATGGCCCTATTCAGAAGAGCACAACAAGCTATGCCTGGTGATTTAGATCCAAAAGATTTGTATTACTACACTGAGAAGGCCATCGGTAAATGGATCTCAACAATTTGTAAAGAAGAATACGACACTACTTGGACATTATACGATAATTTGAAAGATGGTGGACTATTTTGTAAAATAGTGAATAATTACATCTTCCCAGAGTACTCTAGCCCATCCAACAACAACACTCCAGTGTGCCTTTTCAAGTTACCAGTGAACAAGCAAATTGAACAGGAAAACGTTGCACAATATATGAAGTTTTGTACAGTGTTGAACGTCAAGCCATTGTTCACTTATGAACAACTTGCAAAGACCTCAACAAGTTCCGCTGAGAAACAAGTGATTTTACAAAATTTGTGCATGTTATTCGAATTGAGTATGGTGTGTCAACAAAACAAGAAGAGAAAATTCGAATTTATTGAAATTTTGAAAAAGAACCTTTCCTCACGAACGAGCTTGGACCGAGTTTCGAGTACGACCACATCTTCGACCACTTCATCAACTGCATCTAATGGCACTCATGACCACCCAGAATCTGCCGAACACAACAAGAAAACGAGTCGATTCAGTCTAAGCCCTGGCGGTTTGACTGGAATTAAAGACACAATCAAAGATTCATTCTTCAAGAACCTTACTCACCTTAAGGCAGGAAAAGAGACCACCAAACCATTGATTGAGGGAGAAGAAAAACCTGCAGATGAATACTTTGACTAGGAGATTTGCATGTAAATAAAGCGAGTATATTGATCGATGTTGGGATCATCACTGTGATTCTTTTTCGGAGGATTTTAGTGTTGCATTGAAAAAATTGAACGAACATCCGATCATTTTCAACCTCCGCTTTGTTACTTCAATCAAAATTCGTGAGTTTGCCAAGTGTGAGAGCTCCTAGTAGTAGTAGTAGATTGGAACTTAAAAACAAAACAAATTAATAGTCGTCGTGAACACTTGGGATTTCATTAGTTTTTTCCGTAATTTTGATTTCATTGTGAACCAACAACAAGAAGAAGAACAACACTGACATCTTTCAACAACATCCGAACAACAATTATTGCTGACTAATGAACGGAAATTTAAATAGTTATGTGATTGGAGTCGACCACGTTCGTTTCCATGTCGATAACGCTCTTCAATCCTCGGCCTATTATTGCTCTCATCTCGGATTCACTCCGATGGCCTATGAAGGTCTTGAAACTGGAAACAAGGATTTTTGTACTCATGTGGTAAGACAGAATGAAATTATACTGGCCTTTACATCGGCTCTTCATAAGGCTCCCTGTAGATTGGAATTGAACACCCAATTACATCCCTATTTATATACGAATTTGAGTCATTGCCGACATCATAGGATTGGCTCATCCACCAACCATCATCATCATCACGATAACAACTACAATACAATTCATAACAATTCAACCACCACCACGAGTGATTCTCCATACATACAGAATGATCCCATTTACAAATTCTATGAATCTATTCAATCCCACGGAAGTAATCATGCTCATGACTTGGCCTTGTTAGTGAGCAATGTTGAGAAGGCTTTTGAACAAGCTTGCAAACATCCAAAAACCATTCCACTTTCTCCTCCTACAAGAATTTACTGTAATCATTCCGATGATGAGGATTATATAGAGTTTGCTTGTGTGGCGACTCAGTTCGGAGAGAAGGCTTGGATTCATACACTCATCAATCGAGATCATCAAAAAGCTTCACCATTTTCGCATCAAGCTCATTGTAATGGACATTCCAATCATCAACATTATGAGGAGGAACAACAGGGTGTCTTTTTACCTTCCTTTAAGAATACTTGTAAACGAAACGTGTCGAGCATTGGTAATTATTTGGAATATTTGGATCATTTTGCAATTGCCATTCCTAAGGGAACTTTGGTTGAATTAATTGGATGGTATTCACAAGCTTTAGGATTTGAACGTTTCTACAATAATGATGATGAGGATCAACAAAAAGGAATTCAAATTAAGAGTTCAGAAAAGGATTTGGGTGGCTTAACAACCATGGTTGTGGCACCCTCATTACTTTCCTCTCTGAATAGACATATTGAGCTACACGGACTCGGAGAAGATGACAGAAACACCATCAGTGAGAAGGAATTACACGAAAGAAGAGAACTTATTGCTTCGAAGGTCATGAAGAAAATGATTAAATTTGTCTTGATAGAACCAGTGAACACCAAACACTCAAAGAGTCAAATTCAGGAATTTTTGGATTATCATGACGGACCTGGTGTGGCACATTTGGCTGTTCACACAGAAGATATTATCAATGCCGTGTCCAAATCAAGAAAGGTTGGAGTTGATTACATATCTGTACCTCCCACATATTACAAGACATGGAGAGAAGAGAAAGCAGAGCTCTATAACATGGTTGTTGAAGATTGGGCTCTCTTAGAAGAGAATACCATTCTTGTGGATGGCATTGTATTTCCAAAAGATCAAGATTTAGAAGACACTGCCGAGAATTCCTCTTCACACAGTAATAATTTCCGTTATCTTTTACAAACATTTACCAAACCAATCGAAGACAGACCAACCTTCTATTTTGAAATAATTTCACGAAGAGGAAACAGTGGCTTTGGTAAAGGAAACATCAAGGCACTCTTCGATGCCATTGAACGATTACAACTCGAACGAGGGAATTTGTTTATCGATTCAAATGAAAGTAAATAGGGATATCATTTCATGGTGACGACTTAATTGCCAACCTTTGACAACAAGAATTCTCGCATTTCGAAACACTTCTTTACGAAATTAAGAAACACCACTGAGTCACTTCTCTCCTACAATTGTAAGGTTCTAAGTGTATCTCTTGGATGCTAAATGGTAATGAAGTATTTTTTCGAAGAAAATGTCCGTGACATCGTATCAAAGAATTCGGAGTTGTTCGTTGTAAATTATTGTCTAAAGGTCGAACCAATGGAATAATAACAAGAATTCCTCACCATTCAACGGTGTTGTCAACACCTGTTAGTATTCGTAAACCTGACCATGAACGGCGCTCATTTGTGTTGTAGATCTACCTAGTTCATTCGATGTTTTGAACTCTCCCAAAAGCAACACAGCCGCCGAGATGGATGACAGCTTTCGCGGAAAAAACCTTTTTCCAATTCAACTCCTTCATGCAAACAGAAACATTCTAAAAAAACAAACTCGGTGTCATTGCAATCTCAACAACACGAATCATAATAACACAATCACACGAATCACAACAACACAATCACATTCGAATCATAGTTCTCAACAATGAACCCACCCAATCCTTGCAACAACAATCATCCCAACATGAATAATCCCAACAACAACAACAACAATATACTACCACTCATCCTCTCTTTGCTTCAATCCTCTTCCTATCAATTGCAATCGTGGCTCTCATCCATACGTGTTATTCTTGTTGTCATCTTTTCCAATCTTCTCTCAACATGTCATTTTGTATATTCCCAATTAAAATCCAAGCTTGTAACAAACTTTTCAAATCCTTCCATCACCTCCACTACAACAACAACAACAACAACAACCCTCCTCTCTAACGCATGTCCCAATACGACCACTTCCTTCATACATTCCTTTCGATTTCTAACATCCAAAATCTTGTGGATTGTATGGTTGGGAACGAGTGCATTGTTTTTGAACTTGTTCTTGTTGAAAAAGATTCAAAATCATCATGGATCATTTCCATCACAAATGTTCATTCATCATCAAAATCAAACACTTCTTGAACAAAATTCAACCAATGGCCATTGGAATGAAACTTCATGGCGAATACAAAAACATGTATTTTCTGGATTTTCTTTTTTAAAAGGATATCGACCACCGTCGGTTCTGGAAGTTTTCCAACCATTCATTCTCAAGGATATGGTATCAGTATCATCATCATCATCATTGAAAAAATCTTTGGAACAACAACACCTTCCTAAAAAGGTAATTGAGGAATTTGGTTTATTTGAAAATTTCACTTCGACCTTTCAAAGTTCTTATCGATGCATTCGATATCGACTCGATTTGGAACGAAAACATTTTGCTCATCTATTCACCACTTGTTTATTTGAAAATATTTGTTTCAATCGAAAAGGCGAATGGATTTTATTTTCAAAATCTCCACATGCGAAAGAGAAGAGTGAAAAAGTTTGGGTACAAACCAATTCGTATCATGCGTTGACTGGAGATATTCATCGAGTGAGAATCAAAGTGTTGGATCCTCCAAGTGCAGTGTTAGTTCGAGGAGTGAATGGAACTGTTCCTAATTTGGGAAATTCAAATGTCATGGAGTTGTCAAAAAATTTCAAATGGATTGAAAAACCAACATTTGGTACTTCGAGACATGCCACGAGTAATATTGGTCATGCAATTTTGGATAATTTTGCTCTCGTCTTCAACTCGATGATTAATTTTGATTATGTGAGTCCTGACAGTCATTTACTCTTTATGGATGACATGTATCCTAAAATTCCAGGAGACACTCGAACACCTGAACTTGTAAAATTACACGGAGATTTAGCAACGAATAGTTCTCTAGAATGGGCTCGAAGAATGACCAATTTAGAACCATTACAACAAGGTTCCAATCATGTCGAAGGATCTTTTATTAAGAAAGCTCCATGTGAATTTCATGGAATGAATCCCAATGATGCACATGCACATGAAATGGATACTTGTTTTTCGAGTTTCATTGTTGGATCGACTGGTTCCATGTATAGCTTTATTGAGGGACGAGAATCTGTCATTACCTTATTTCGAAAGTACTTGTTGAGACAATTGAATGTAAAACCTCAGAAGAAGTTTTCAAAAGTGTTCAGAATTGCGATTCAGAACAAACCATTGCATTCGATCAATCGAGATGCTATTATTAATGTCGACAAGATTGTCAATTATTTAAGACAGAATGTCACGGAAAGTGAAATGTTGGAATTGGCCAATAGTGTTCGAGGGAAACATGAACCCAAATATGAACGTGTGGAAATTGTGAATTTGAAATTGGAGAGAATGTCGTTTGAGGAACAAGTACAATTTTTTGGAGATTTAGATGTTTATATTTCCACACAGGGAGCTGCTTCGTACATGTCACTCTTCATGACGAAACCAAATGCAGTCATGTTTTATGTACCCATGTGTTTTAGACACACTTTGACTTGTTCGGATTTGAACTTGAAAATTCATGAGACTTGGGCGACTGAGGTGAAAATTGTTTCCTTGATTCACTATACTCATTTGTTGGAGTGTGTGAAGGGAAATTCTGATGAAGAACCAGGATTTAAGGTGACCGCACGAGTTCACTCCGAACCATATGGAGATTGTCATGAAAGGATTGATCCTAAGGGTTTATATCATGAATTGATCTCAAAGGCATTACAGAGATTGCTGTAAATAAGCTCGGTCCTGTAGAAGAGAACCACAAAAGTAATTACTTCAGAGTTTATTCCATTGCATCAAAATTAAATCATTAAGAATTTCGAAAAAGACTTTTTTCACACTGAAGGATCATTTCTTTCAAAAAAACTTTCCCAAGTTGCATTTCCAAACAAGTAATCTTTCCACTTGAGATACGTCCTTCCTCTCGAAAGCGGGTCCCATACACGTCCCAAATCTAACCTTAGACTTACTTCTGGCACATCTAAAACTTGGATTGGCTCTTTTAACAAGTAAGATTCAGGAATGTCGCATCCACAATATTCCAATTCCAATCTCTTCTTTTTCAAATCCTTGAACAACGTTACCGCTTCATGGAACGTCAACTTTTGAACGAGTTGAACTTTATGACTCTTTTTAAGAAAGAGAGTGAGTTTTTCTGTGATTGTTCCACAATACTTCATACATTCTGTTACAATTTCAGAGGTTAACAAAACTTTAGCGGAGAGAATACGGTCAACTATGGTGGGATTTGCTTTCACACATTGCAAGATAAAGTCAGCATCCATTAATAAATGACCTGGTACATGCATGAAAACCTTTCCATTTCTCTTGATGATATCAATTATTCCTTCTCGATCACTCGGTTCAAAAAATCTTTGAAATATTTCGAGTGCATCACTCACATAACAAGCATTGTTTTCAATGGCTGCCCAAAAACAATCCCTATCGTCATGAAATTGTGTTGGAATGTCAGAAAATGAGCATGGGTTTCTACTTTGCAATGCTGTTAAAATGACTTGCTTGTCATTTAAAAAATGTTCCAAAACGTCATTCAATAGATTCCCATGCGCGTCAAGTACTTTTAAAACAAATTGTCTGTCGTTTTGGAATTTGGGCAAAATATGGTGAAAGAATAATCCGTGTGCCTTGACAGCTTGGATCGCAAAGTTTCTATCATTTCTCATCTCAAGTGGAGCAAATTGAAAAAACAGCTCCCAATCCTCTCGTCTCCAAAAACATTCTTCATCCAAAAAGTCTTCCGCAGCACAATCATACTTGTACATTCGTGTCAGTACTTGTTCCCATAACGTTTTCAAAGGATCGTTTTCGAGTACATTGTTCATTGAGGTTGCAAACCGACCTCTCCTCAATTGTTTTCGTTGTTGATAATTCGTGTGTACTCGATAATATTCGTCAGGTAATTCATACAGTATTTGTAAACCTTCTTTCCATACATCTTTAAGGCTCTGACACCAGACATCTTTGAGAAATGATTGTAGAAAAACATGCAACTTGACATTTACAGGTAGTTCATTGAGAATACTTGTTGGTAGCTTGTCTATGAGTTGAGGAACACATGATTGGATCATGTCTTCTTGAATATTCCCATACATGTCAGTGATTGGAGTATTCAGTAATTCAAGAATGAATTCTTTATCATTTTCCAATTCAATTGGCAACCATGAATCATTGTCTGCGTAAAATCGAAGTGATTGCATACTGAATCTTCGATCTTGTTTCAATCTTTCAGAAGCATATAACGTGCAGTTCTTTGAAGGATTACAACGGATTGCATGCATGACCATTTCTTCATTGTCTCTCAATCTTTCGGATAGCTGAGCTAATAAGCAACGACCATCTCCCAATGCTAACTTTGCTTGATCAAAATCATCCAAATCAAATAAAAAGTTGAAATCATAATATCTTGGAAAGATTATTGACAATTCTACTTTCCATTCAAGTAAAAGTGCTTTTGGAACGAATTTCAGGATTGTTAATCGCTCTGAAGCAACAAGTTGCAAGATTCCAATTTTAAAAGGTCTCCAAAATTCAATATTTCCAATAACTTCGGCTTGTTTTTGATTATTTTCAAACAATTCTGAAACGCCCATTCGTTGTGTCAACCATTGGACCTCATGCCCAAAACTAGAACGGGTCGCGCCATAATTTTCCACATACTCCCGATCGTTCATGAATTCAATGGGAATATCACGGTTTTGTTGTATCCACTGGTGTCTTGTCTGTAAATATTTACTGAAACCTTTCGATTGATTTTCAAATTTTGTTTTCAAACGTTGATATAAAAAATTAAGGAAAGCACAAGAAATGGTGTTCGGTGATGATTCCACAAGATGATGAAAATCAATTAAATTAATTGTAACCAAGTGATTGTTGAGTTTTGGAGATTTGTGTTTCAAGACCGAGTTGTAATGGCAAGGAGCTGCTCGTTTCATTTGTTTGTTGTTTATCACGAGCGTGATACTCAGTGCTTTTTGCGAGGTGACTTCCCATCTCACTCCATTCCCTACTCATGCTTGTCAAGTTCCTTTTTCGCTCAGTTTCGTCTCAATGTTCCGGTGGTAAGGAAGAACTAGATGATGACAGTGCAGAAGTACCGTTTCACCACACACAACTAGCGTCCATTCGACTTTTTATTCCATAACAACTGTGCATGCTCTTTCACATCCAACAACGGGAAAAAATGTGGATGTTCACAGGGCAATTGACCGTGTTCCTTAATGATTGTTTCCATACGTTCAATCATGTCAATACCTTTCATGGGAGAGGTGGCGTTCTTGGGGGACGTTGGTGGTGACGATGGCGTATTATTGCTTGTAAATCCATCCTCCGTCATGTAATAGTACAACAAGAGAAGAGCATAAATGTTTTTAGGATCCATGTCCACAGCATGAAGCGCTAATAAAAACGCTTCATGCCTTCGATCTTGATCGAATAAGTAGAGCAACATGGACTGCACAAGTGTCATGCAAGCATTGAGAGAAATTTCCACACCCGTTTCCCAATCCTTAAACGTTAAAATAATATTGTCGTTTGAACTTCCAAAAAAATCCTTGGCATGCAATCCTTTCTCAGCAATGCGAATACCTTCTTGATGGGAGAAAGAATCACCATTTCGATGGGTCATATTTTCGAACAGTCGAATACATTCCAGTAATTCTTCTGAGAAGGATTCCAAGTGATTAATATCTCTAGAGTAGAAGACATGTTCTACAAAGTAAAAAGCAAAAATGAAATAATCAATGCCCACAATATCAGGCCCTAGTCTTAGACATGCAACAAAACCTGTCTGTTTTAGATTTCTAAATATTGTGTTCAATATTTTCTCCCTCATTGTTTTATCTGGGGATGTGGCAAGTAGTTGAAAATTAATTATATTTGCCGATTCGAGAGGATTTTCTAAAAACTCCTCAGTTTGTTTTTTGATGTTGGTTGGAGCCAAGCATTCGTTGAAAATGTTCAATTCCAATCCAATATTAGACTCGTTTGAATTCGAAGCCACAAGATTGACAAAATTTTTCATCACTAGTCGCATCATTAGTTTTGTAATTCTCACCAAATTTAACCTCTCCATTTGTGCCTCATGATTTTCTCCACTCATATCGAGATTGGGATCCAGTAAACGATCATACAAAAACAAGTAGACGCCATAGGCTGAGAGAAATAGCTCTCGTTTCATTTCTCTCATGCTCTCGATTGAGGGAGCAATTTGTAAAATCGATTCAAATGCTTCTTCCATATGATGAATGTTAATTGAGATTTGAAATGACTCATCGTGCAGTTCATAGAGAGAGGACTTGACTGGAGAACAGGCCATCTCAGCAGCGATCGTGAGAGATCGAGGCTGTGACGAAGATGATAAGGGTGGCGATTGCATCTTCTTTGAACTCTTTCTTCTCCTTTTCGTCTTTTGTTTGCATTTTAACTTATTGGATGACGACGAAGTAAATAGTTGCGTCTCATCAATGGAATTTCTTCGTCGTGACACAATTTCTGAGAGAGCAGGGCTACTGTCTTCCTCAAGAGGATCCCCACTACTATTAGTCGCCAAGAATGAATTCTTGGAATGTGTGGTCAACGATTGAGATTTGTGCAATGGCGTCATTGTGGTCATTGGGGATGATAAGGAACACATTCGGTGGTGTCGTGTGTGAGTCTTCAAACCAGCAGTTGTTGTTGTAGTACTAGTTGTGCCAGCACCAGCTGAAGCAGAAGTGTTTCTTTTGTTGTTGAGATTATTTTGTGAATGCTGCTGTTGATGACCCTTGTCATTTCTGTTGTTATTATCTCGCTCAGAGATACTAGATGCCAAATCGGGAGAATGTTCATCATCCATTTCATCAAACAAGAAGTTGTCGGCAGTAGAGCTTGAAGTACTTGAAGTGAATGTTTCTTCATCGGCATGCTCACTCTCGCTACTGCTAATACTATATTCATTATTGAACCAAAGAGCCTTATATGATGGCGGTTCCTCATCATCATGAATGTGTTGTGGATGAAAATTAACACGTTGTTTCTCTACGGGTCGGTTTAAACTAGGGGATGGAACTGTTGGATGAGCTCTTTCTGAGATTGGGATTGTTGTGTGTTTCTGTACATTCTTCATCCAGCCATTGTGTGTTTCTTCTTTGGGTTTTATCGGAACAGGCTTGTGCTTGGTTTCGGTTGAAAGGTTTACTTCTTCCTTCTCATTCATTACGCGTTCCGTAGAGAGATGATGGACGAATTATTGCTGTTGTTGTTATTCTCGAATAGCTCTTGTGAAGACTGTGCAACGTGTGTTCTTTCTCGGAAATTATTTCAACAAACTCAGAATTGCAGTAGCAGAAATTGAGCCAACCCGTACTTGTTATGATGTCTATTACTATTATGATTATTATTAATACTATTGCACAAAAGTTATGAACTCTACACGGAATGTGCTTGTGGTGGTTCAAACTTTTGAACGGAAATTTTCAGCAGTAGGTGCAAGCGAGGTTGGTTCTGTTTTTTCGTATGATGTGTGTTAATTGGTGCACCAACAGCAACCACGAACAACAAAAGAAGTCTTTTTGTGTTGGAGGAAAATACCCGAGATTGGCTCAAGAGTTGATGAAAAATAAGCGCAACACGAAATTTTGCGTTAGTTCAACTGCTGCTGTTCTATTGTTGCCTTTCAAAATGTTTTGAATTGAGGGAATAAATATTTAGTTGAAAGTATATCCCTTAATCTCACAGAAACTATTTTATTAATTTTCGTAACGAAGACACATGTAAGAAGAAATACTCTCTTTACCCAGTTTCTCAGAGTATTTTCGAAGCAATTCAATTTCTTCAAGAGTTGGTGCATCCACCGAACGGTAAAATGATTTTCCGTCATCGTCAGCAAATTCATTGTACAAAACATTTCCATCCTTAAAATCAAAATTAATTTTCTTCCACATTTCAATGTGAATCCTTCTAAGGATTAAATGGAGTTCCTTATCACCGGCGTCGTAGACGAACATGAATTTCTTTGAATCAATGTTCAATAGTTCTAATAGATGATTCTGTTGCCCCTTCTCCAAGAGCTCCTCATAAATTTCATCGTCATCAAATTTTATTGGTCTCCATTTCTTTCTCTGTTTTTCAAAATCAAAATCATCATTAAAAGCAATACCAAGCTTGGTATGAACCAAGTCTCTTGGAATGAATCTCTTGATCCTTTGAATGAATTCAGGTCTTTGCCATCCACGTACGCAACCATAGACAAGTACCATGTCATAACAAAAGCTCATTTTTTGAATCATGGGGTTGAATTCGTCCTCAATGAAAGTGATTGACTTTGTGATTGCGAGCTTTAAGGACCTCAAAGCTTTAATCAGTTTATCTGAAGTTGCAGAATACAACATGAGTTTTGCACCGAAATGAAAGGGCAAATCAATTGTTCAAGTGCCATTCAAAGAAGATTAGCATGTCATGTTCACTGATGCAACATGTACTTTTATTATCAACAAGAGCTGCAACTCTTGACGTTTAAAACAGCTCTTGAATTAAGCTGAAGTACAAGAGCAAAATGTGAAGAGGGATATAAACTTCCACAAAGGATTCCACACCGATCTCGAAGATGCTGTACTCAGATTAGAAGTATCTTTGGATTCTTTGGGTGTTTGATAGGTTGTCCATCGCAAAGAAAACTCTGTTGGTATTTCTAAAATATGTCTCTGAATAACAATCTTGTCTGTGTTGACAGGATGTTGAGGAAAGTCGGAAGCAATCGAATGGTGTGCAATTTTCTCATTAAAAAGAACATCGAAATAAATATGAAAAACAGAGAAGGGCATTTCTGGAGAGGCATTCATGGCACCCAGTAATTGAAGTTCCTCAAAATCAATAAAGTTTGCAAGATATCGAGAGAATGGAAGTGCATGTTGATCGTCTCTCATGCGACATGTTCTATTCATGACCTGAACATGGAAAGGTTTTTCTGTTGTGAGCGATGGAAGTCCAGAAAATGAACTGCTCATGAATAGTTGATCGCTCGTTGCAAGAAAATCGTTTGGGTTCACATGATTGAGAAGAAAAGTTCTCAAAATAGCTTCTCTCTGTTGCAAGCTCAATCTATTGTAATTCACGTAGGGCATCAGTTTGGTAAGATTTCTCACCAGTGAAATACAATTATCTTTAACCGTGTGCTGTTTAGCCACTCGGTGCGTATGTCGCTTGACCATCTTATTTCTATAGCTCTTGAGTTGGTTCTTGTTGATTGTTAAAAAGTCCATTGCAAGCTCAGGGTCTGTTTTTTCGTAATTGTCCATCAAATGTTGCAATTTTGCTTGCTGTGTTTTGGATTCCAATGCGGCAATCTTTGGAGAAAAGTAATCAGAAAAGAATCTTGGAGTGAAATCATGCAAAATGAAATAGAGTAGCATTCGAGAAACCTTTGAAACATCATAATCAAAGTGCTGCGAGGTTTCATAAGAGTTCATAATAATTTGAGCAATCTCATTCCTCATTTCCAAATCTCTTTTGCGATTGTCGATGGAATGTGTGGGGTTACTATTCGTGACACTTGTAGCGCTTTGATTATTGTTGGGGGTTGAAGATTTCAAAGACCAACGCAGGAGGGACGACTTTCGATTGCTGGCTGGTGGTGATGGTGCAGACCTCTGAGGATTAGAATTACTTAGATTATTGGAAGTATTGGCAGGAGAGGGAGAGGTGACAGTTGTCTGGGAAATGGTAGCATTGGAAATGGTAGTGGTGGAATGAAGAGATGCTGAGGATGGTTTGTTGTTGTTGTTAGGCGCGTTATTGTTGGAATAACGAGATTTGGGGGAATGAATCGATCGGTTATGAATTGAGGCGTGACTAGTCGACAACGACGACTGATTTTTGCATTCGAGAGGAGTGGCAGAATGTTGATGAGTGGGTAAAGATGATGACTCTTTCGAAGCATCAAATTGGTAGACCTTTCCATTCACACCGTCTTTGAAAACAGAGCCTGACGAGATCTCAATAAGGTCCTTTCTTGGATTACCATCGAGTGATCTAAAGTTGTGATAATAGAGAGTAATTTCAGGCATTTCCACAAAGCTGAAATTGCGTTCATGAGTGGGAAACTGAAAGTCAATATGAAGTGTAAACTTGTCAAAGGCTTTCCAATGATTGACTACAATGAGATGGCGAGTACTATTATTGAGAACATTTCTCTGTGTATCTGTGGCATCTATCTCATTGGCATCTGTAAACTTGTTGCTCACAGTTTGATACTTGAAGAGTGGTGCAGAATTTCTGACCTCAAGAATTGTCTTTAAACGTTCGAGAAGAATATTTGCAGTGTTGTTTGTTTGTGTGGTGTTTGACTTGTTGCTGTCGTCACTACTAACAGTACGTTGTTGCACCTGTTGACTTCCTCTTCTTCCCCTTGACAATGTTTGAGAAGGTTCCATAACGTTCACAAATGGTTTGGAATTGGCCGTGTTGCGAGCACCACCAAAACTGCTACTACCAGTACTGTTCTCAATGGTCTCAATAATGACCGTAGATTCTTGTTGTTTTTGAGCAGATAGCGATTCTTGAGGTCTGTTAATAATCTTTTCCAATTCATCAAGCCAAGGAATAGGTTTGGAAAGATCCACATCGACCTCGACCTCAGCATCATTTAAACGTCTAAAGCCATACTCTTTCACCCAATAATCAATAATTGCGTCCTTAAAGAGAGTGTATGCATTAAATTGCATGCATCGAAGTGGAACAAATATCACTGGATGATACATTTGGCGTAGAACTTGTTTCAGGAAAGGGCTTACATGTGTCAGGTCTGAAGGTATAGATGAAACATTTCTCCTCGAAGGTTTTGTCACTTTTGTGAAAACATCTTGAAACATGTAGCTCAGAGAAAATTTGTGGTAAAACAATCGGCATGTCGATGCCAAACTCTCAAATTGAGAAATATCGCAGTAGGTGAGTATCAATCCCAGCATGTCATCTTCGAGTTGTGTCAATTTTGTCCTCGACTTGGTCTGAATGAATCGAGGAAGATCTTCGAATAAACTAGTTGTGAATGGAGAAGTGTTGGTTACGGGTGTTGTCTCTTCTGAAAAGACTAGAGGTGACCATTCACTGTTTTCGTGAATGGTCGTTTTGTGATCCATGTTGGCGCTAGTAGAAGAACTGTTGCATGAAGCTTCTACCAATGTTGTTGAGTTGTGATTGGAAGGAAGAGTGGATGAAAGTGTTGTGTTTAACGTCAAAGTTTGAGTAGCTACGGATGAATCATCATGTAGTGGCGACGTTGTATGGCGCTGATTGGGAGTTTCATCATGCATTCGATTGATTTCCAGACAAGTTCTCATGGAAACTGCGCAGAGATCAGTATTATCATCATTATGGGATGATGGCATCAATGCAACAAGAGAGGATGTGGAATGAGAAGGAACTCTGGTGTGAGGTTTTGTCGTCGTGGCCGTACTCGCAGTCAATTCGGGCTCTCGTTCAATCGTGGTGGTCGTTTCGAGTGGTGTCCTGGTTGCTGCTTGGTTTGTTTCCATCATGATGGACATTGTGGTGTGTGCTTCTTCTTCTTCTGTACTGCTGAGCTGCTGATCAAGACAGGGTGGAGAGGACATGGAAGATGTGTTGGAAAGGGATTCCAAGGACTGATGCGTGGTGGTGGGTGAAGTCGTTGTTGCTGTTATGAGGGTGGTCGTACATGAAGAAGATGTTATGGAAGAAGTGTTCTTCGCATGATGATGATGATGATGATGATGATGAGGATGATTTGATTGTTTGTCATCATGTGGATGATCAGAAGGTAGAGTGGAATGGAGTGATTCTTCTCGAGAAAGAAGAAGAGAATCCACACGATCAAAAGCTGAGGGAATGTTGGAACATGAAGAAGAAGAGGCTTGATGAGAGTTGGACGGCCGTTTGTTCTCCAAATCTCCCAATGTCGTTAAAATTGGTAAATCAACTTGATGATTCAAACTAGGCGTTAAAGAGTTGTTGTTGTTGTTGTTTTTATGATGATTCAGGTTAGAGGAGTGATTGGACATCTCGGTCGTTGTTGTTATGGTTGTGGTTATTATAGATGATGAGGTTGCTAACGAACAGGAAGAAGCCCCGGCTTGGTCCTCTCGTCCGTCATTTTCCAATAGTCTCCTGTGTATGAAGAGTTGTTGTTATTGAAGATGAATTAAAACTTTCAAATATATCCTTCAAAGAGAATTGATTCTTCTCGGATTTTTACAAGGTCTTCTTGTTTCTAATAACTTGTTATTGTTCTGGTAATAAAAAAACACAATGCACAGAGGAATCTCTTTGGTTCAAAGCTCCTGTTGTTGATGATG